AACGGCAGTTAGTGGTCAGAGTTCGGAGCTCTTTATCGGACCCCATACAAGTTGAGTGTGGTGTGCCGCAAGGCTCGGTTCTAGGTCCACGTTTGTTTTTGGTGTTTATTAATGACCTTGCACAGGGAATCGCTTCAAACTTCCGAATGTTTGCCGACGATATCAAGATCCGGTGCAGGATCCAAGCGAATGCCGACCAACATGTGCTTCAAAGTGACTTAGATACAGTGTATCAATGGTCGACCCAAAATCTATTGCATTTCAACGTCAGTAAATGCAAGGTGCCTTCCATCTGACATCAAAGCAGCTACTCATACCGACTCGGAACGGATGTACTGCAACAATCATCTCTCAAACGTGACTTGGATGTCCTGGTTCAAGATGACTTGGGTTGCTCCAGGCAATCCGAAAAGGCCTCGAAGAACGGGAACCAACACGTGGGGCTGTTGAGGCGGGCGTTTGGACGAATAAACAGCTCCATATTTCGACAAATCTTCAGTGCGTATGTTCGCCCCCATGTCACATATGCAATTCAAGCCTGGCATCCATGGCTGAAACACGACCTTAATGCACTGGAGCAGCCACAAAGCCGGGCATCTAAGAACCTAATTGGGATGCGTAATCTTTTCTACCAGGAGAGACTGCAACGACTAGGATTGTTCGGTGGAAGCTATCGCAGGCTACGAGGCGACCTGATTATGGCATACTTGATTCCGCGAGACCCACGTCGTGTGTGCCGCCCTTTACTGCAACTCAGAAGCAATACAAACCTGTGGGGCCACTCATGAAAACTCGCAGAACGATACAGTCGTCTGGAGTGTCGCAGAAATTTCTTTTTCATTCGTGTCTGTTACCCGTGGAATGCTCTCCCAGAATCGGTCGTCTCTGCACCGACACTAACAGTATTTAAAAGACGGTTGGACGATGCACTCATACAATTACACTTTGTTAATTAACACTACGTCTTCATCCTCCACCTGGAGTTTACCATGGAATTATTTGTGGTTAACGGTGGGTGCTGTGAATCTAAGGAGATCGCAGGACTGCAACGAAGCAAAAGATAAGTCCTTATTTTCGTATTTAAAGTATTAACTATTTTACTATCCTCTTCATCATAATTGTTATGTTGATATCCCCACCAAATATCCAACGGGACTTGTAAAACAATGCTTCTTAACCCGTATAAATTCATTGTTGTTCATTGTTCATTGTACACTTCCTACTAATTGATATTGCACCACTATAGGCAGTATGTGACGGGCTATACTCTAGATTTGGTCGTATGACTGGAGCTAAGAGGCGAGTGGCCTACCAACTGCGGAAGCTATATCTGAGCGTCTAAAGGGTACGAATTACGTTTCAATAAGGTATATTCATGTTGTCCACGGAAGTTAAGTTTTCGCTTAAGAGCACACAACCTCCTTAACTAATTCCATAGAATTCAGCGGTTGACCCCCTATAGTGAAGATACGAACGCGTTCAACCTTATCCAAGTACAGGAATAGCGACTTGCCTGGTCAAATCGGCATCGTAAACACGACAAACACACAGGCAATCCAAGTCACGCTGATGCAGATCACAGTCATTTTACCTATTGATTATTTTCCACCCTTCAAATCCCTTGCAAACGACTGACAAGAACAAGGGAGCAACTATCGCAAAGCCTTTATATGGATAAGGTACAAAGTGAGCCCAGTACTGTGCTTTTGGGCACGCCAATGCTCGAAGGATTCCGGTCAGACAGGTGGCTGTCGATCTAGATCGCAAACTTTTGAGCAAAAATTATTTCCTGACCCAATGATGTAGTCAACCCCCAACACTGCATACCCTTAGCTTAGGGAGGAGGACACTGTGGTTCACCTTGTTAAAAGGCTTGCTGAAATCAATGTAAAGGACGTCAACCGGCTTTCCCTGGTTCAGCGGTTGCAACTACTTGTTAATTTGTCACAAACGTGTTAGTTATGCATGAGTGGCCTTCCCCAAATCCGTGCCATGCGGATGTTAAGAGGGTTTCCTACTCGAGAAGCTGCAGAAAACTTCTCTTTGCATTCTTCAAAAATGTCATAGCCAATACAGTGGTCAGCCAATTTGGTAAGTATTTATCCCCTTTGCTTGGGTCACCACCTTTAAAGATGGACTTTACAATTGGGTACTTTCTGTCGATCGGTAATAAAACTGTGGACAGCGATCTGTTGAACAGCTCAGTCAAAGAAAGCGAGAAGATAGCCGGTATTGACTTGAGGATGTGGGTAGGTTCCATCAGACCAACATGGTTTGATTTGGTCAAGACTAGCCAACGAAGTGCGGATATCTTTAATGCTTCAGTCCTGGCTGTCCACTTCGGTAGCAGCAGTACCCCTTGAACTCTGTACCTACAACTGATCATTTTTGAATACGGAATCGAAGTGTTCGGCCAATGCAGACGCGGATTCAGTGCTCTAGGCTAGTTACCTAAATCCTCCAACACGGGGCATACTGCTTGCAGATCAAAGGCATGACACAGCAAAGGTACGAAATCCCGGTCCTTAAATTGTGTGATCGGAAAACAAACCACTACATCGGTAACGAGCACTGAAAAAGCGAATGGAAAGTAAAAAGCTGTTTTCTGCTCACCTACTTTTGCATTGTGCGTCATGGTGATACAAAAGTAATTCCGCTTTGTGTTGAGGTATCGGCAGTGCGGCAGTAAACAGTACCGGCGCTTCGCTTTTGCACAACCACCGCAAGTCAAGTACCGGCTAAAAATACTGCGTAGGTTTCCGGGTCCCCTACGCAGCTTCGAACCGGCGACCCCAGATTACAAGCAAGTGGTGAACCTTAAGGCTACAGCCGCCTTGTAGTTATGTGTGTGCGTGTGTGTGTGATAAACTATTCGTGAAACCCCCATGGTCGTCTCGTGTTCAGGCTAAGGAATAGGTCGTGTTTTTCTGACATCTGCGGGACGAATTGGCAATACTTGTAAATCACGTGGTGTGTTCAGAGGGCATAGTGCCAATAACAAAGGAATGTAGGTCAGAAGTAAACCACTATGCCGATAAGCTTTAATGTTTTACATTAAAAGAAGATACTACAAAGTAACGGGCCAGTGTTACTGTTTGCGAGAGTTGTCAAATTGACCAGTATGTGTGATGCTGTGCCAAAGCTAATTGTGCGGATAAGCATAGAAGAGCTGTTTGAAACACCGGAGACACATAGATTTGAATCATTGGAAGTACGTCGGTTCTGTGAGTCGGATCAGAGTGTTTCTTGATCGTAGTTAGGTTTCGGTGAAAGCGTTCGACTAAACACTCCACTTGGGGATTACATGCTGTATTATTATTATTCGCATGTCTTCCAATAACTCCGGCAAACGTTGTAAAATCCAAGCTTAGAAGGTGAAACTACGATATTGTCGACGTTAGAAAGAAGCCTCAAATGACTGCCCACCTGGTAGTAAGTGCACGGGCGATGGTTACTGTTTTTTGTCTACAATGAGAATGGCTTCGGGCTATTGAGTGAGACGATTGATGCATTTCAACATGTAAGCGTTACCACCGAGATACGTTAAGTGTCGATAAATATCGAATTGAATTTGGTTGAATATACTGCTTCTATGTGCAAATTTTCCGATGTTTAAATAGGTATGCAGGGGTAGTTTAAATTTCACATTTTGGTCAAGTCTCTCTATGTGCAGCTAACTTCGCTCATGACTTGTCATACAAGTCGTTCGGAGAACAACTCACGGATTCACGTATGCCAGGATGTAAGAGGTAATGATAGCCTCGAACACTGGTTCAACGCATGGATGCAGGAACCAGTGCTCTTTGAATTGCGGTGAATACTTCACTTTTAATCTTAAACGAATATTTATTCGGACGATTTGATAAAATATTTAACGAACACTGGTTTTACTTTGTCTTTTTGCAGTTGTGTCTAACTTTTCCTATTACTGGGTTACGTTTTCTTCGTATAAACTTTTGAACGGGATGGTATGTCCGCGACAATGTTAATTACGTCCAGGAACATAGTGGAATTCAAGGGTGTTCTGTGAAATCCAGTCATGAAGTGGGAACTTATATGACTTAACAATTAGAAGAAATGCCAAACGCTAGTTTTCTGAAAACGCACTAAACAGACTTCCTCGCATAAAAGGTAAACATCAACGAAAGGGAATACTATTTCAGAATTTTGTTGGCGTGAGCTTGGGAGAAGATAGCTAGGTAATTATGTAACCAAATTAACGGTTTGCTTTAAAAGAGCTCTAATAACAGCAGTTATTGCATCTACACCTACGCACAGTTGACCTTCATGTTACAGACGTAGATGCGTCATGCTATTCGTTAAGGATGAATGCATTTATTCAAAGATTTTGTAGTCCTTTTTAAAGTGGTACTATTGCTGATTGCCAGCTACCGCTTTTGGGAGTGGAGCTAACAGGCCTCCAGTATAGTAATTATGCGGCGAGATAGACTGAGCATGCCTGACATGTGTTCGAACTGTTTCACGAATCGCAGGGAGGAAACGTTTCTTATGACATCCCGTTTTTCTGCGGTTATCATTGCAACAATTATGTGAGAAATATAACTAAAGCATTTTACACACCCTGAGATGTGTGAACAATACTTTTAGTTGTATCAAACTTACATTTTCATTACAGTTTTCAACAAAATTCGCTAACATCCTTTATGTTTGTCGGAGTTATAAGAACTTAGAAGGGATAATCATCAGTGCGAAGTGTTCAAATGCTGGGAAGTTATATGTGGATACAACGGTAGATTTGCTGATGTGGATGCAACTATCAGTTGAAATGCAAACCAAGCAGTAAGTTTGCCTTTTCCTTTGGGTATTCTACTAATCCCCAATTGCCTCAAGGCGTAACGGTATGAACTGCGCTTACTGTTATCCGGCAGTCGTTTTATTAGGGATATCCGAGTTTTTCAACGATTTACCAAATTTAAAACGAACCCACTTGAATGGTGTTCCACAATACTATTAATATTATGATGTTAGGCATAACTTACCACTGGAAAACGATGCCACGATTAAATCCGGTTTCCTCCCAGCCAAAGCCGCATACACGACCATCATGGTATTAGATGTAGAATTTAACGTTACGTTAAGGGCATTTGCAAATCCAGGTAAGAAATAAACTGTGGGCGCACCGCAATCACCCCCATCCAAAACACGTAGCCAACTTCCTCCATAGGTTATCTGTAAGAATAAAACGTACATATAGCACGATCCACTCAGTGGTAGACCACTCTTGTTACAGTGAGCTAGTAGAAGTGCACAAAGCGACACACGATATTCAGTCTTACATTGTTCCGACCGTATGAGTTCGGACTAGTCCGTTGTGAATGTGTAATTCATGTACGCACACAATCGTTGATCGTTCTCAGTAAAGGAGCTTGTATTACCAGTCAAAGAAACTCATCGATTTCTAACATGATGAAACCGATACCCATAGTGATCAGTTGATTCATTTTAGCATATTTCCCTTGGTGTGGTTGTGAACTGGTTTATATCGTAATTGCAGGAGGACTCTTGTATCGTGTAAGTGAGGGCGGAATTTAACTGACGCGTTTTAGGCCCACTAACAGGAGATCCCTGAAAATTCGGTCAGCATAATTCTTAAATGAGTTCAACAATTTATGTACCGTATGTACGATAAAGTAAAAAATCTCATTTTCGCCATGCGTTTCACATATATCGGTTCTAATTTTCCGTCCTAACAAGCTATTAACACAGTAGTATTGACGGACTTACGGATATGACCGCGAAGTTGAGAAGCATTTTCCTTCCAGGACTGACTGTTATCCTCCATATACACAGATAATTCCATCCTAGCTCTCCTCTGTATGTGAAGTTTCCAACATCCTTCCGAATTTCCCAACCACGTGTTTCTGAAATAGACAAGTCGATAAAACAATGACGCCATATTTGTCCCTGTTTATGTCAAGTCATTCTTTTTTACATATTCTCGCGCCAATATCAACGAAAGTAAATTACTCTTAACAGATATACATACGGAAATCACTTAAACCGGTAATTCCTCACACACTTTTAGTGGTGAACACGTGGCTAGCCAACATTCTGAGTACACATGAATTTTTTTAAATCATGTTGATTCAGAGTCATATTGAAAATGTGTGCAACCATCGTAAGGTAAACGGTAAAATAGCAGCTTTGTGAGCTCATTATTTTAATAGATGGCGAGTTGGTTAGTTGAGAGAATACATGTAAGGCATACCTCGCATAACACCGTAAACAGGGATGTGTGGGATTGCATAATAAATATTTCTTATGCAGAACTCACCCAGTATATGATTGTGAGCTAAAATGTAAAAGCAAACAGCCGTACTAAAGCAGTGTTTTAATAAGTGATATAACTTGCTATTTATAAAATACTATCTTCCTTTCTCTATAAACCTGATGCAATCATTCCCCTCCAGACTATCAGCGCTCTGAAGAATTTGGACCGAATCCAGAGGCCACCAGTTGCTTCTCTTGACATTATCGTATCCTATGTGATCTCTATCAAAAACTAGGAACAGTTACTCCTATTTAAAATACCGGATTTCAAAGGGTACACTTTAAGTAGGGCATTTTAGACGATAACGTTTAAAAGCGGACTCAAACGAGTATAAATACTTAATTCTGAGGTTAAATTGTTTGAGAGACGAATTGGTTGACTTTATTCGATCAAGAATTAAACTCATCGGCTCAGGTGATGGGAGCCTGTGTTTTCGCTGAAAGCCCTCCTGATATTACCTTACTTTCTAGGGATGCTTTTTTGTTTATACAGTAAAAGCTGAGCTGTAATTTCAAATCAGATGCTTGGAGGTTGGTATCAACAATAGTAGAACTCACGAGGTGGCGATACTGGTTTTGTTGGAGCTTTAGGGTGAAGAAACAAGACATAGTGTTTACCAGCTAATCAAATTCTACAACCAATGCGGCAAACTATATTGGCAGGACTCAGTGTTTATTATAAGGTCATTCGTTGATTCACTGCGTTAATCCGCGTTGGGATCAGCATTGGTACATTAAAGTGGCAACCAGTAACACTTGTGACATAAAATTTACTTGGTTGTGAACACACTGCGCATAGCTATGCAATTTACAATTCAGGGTTCTTACTTTGTTTACTGACTGAAAGTAAAAAAGGGACAAAATGCTCCGTTCTGAGTTGACGCGGATTTAAAAAGCATTGAGCATCGATAGCATTTCACAAATTCATATAAGGAAACATGACAATGCGACAGTCACCAGCAGAGAACAGTGTTCCCCCATGTGGATTTGGGTTGAAATCACGATTAGAAAATAGAAAAAATAGAAAATAGAATATTTGTATTCCATGCAATTGCGGAACTTCCCGTTGTTCGGAAACTGGCGTTTGTAAAGTCATACGGTACTTCACCACTATTGACACCATGACTAGTGAGATGTGGTAAATTGAAACACGTCGGACAGTACAGTGACTCTAAAAGTACGATGCTGATATCAATTGTCCATTAGCCTTGCTAGTCGATGGCATGCAGTTTAGCAGGAGAGATCATGTGAAAATCGCACTTTGTACAGGTCCACATAGCGGTGTACCAAGATTGCTTTCCAGTATTGCAGGGTTCACTTTCACTCGACTAACTTAATCAGAAGGAAAGGTTTCTGTAGCACCATCCCGAAAATAACAGCAAATTTCCCATACTGGCCAGAGCTTCCGAAATCCAGTATTTACTGAGCTGACGCATCAAAGATGCTGAAACCCCAGTAAACTTAATCCACTCATTTGGATACAGGATGTCAAATCTGTTCACCGTAAATGCATTTATTACCACCACTTACGTAACTGCAGTTGTCTTATTTACCTCGGCAATCAAATACTAGCTAATATTGTGACTACAAAACTGTTCCAAAATCCTAAACATACAATGTGGATTGTGTAGTATACAAAATTAATAATTTGTTTAGTTACAAGTAATATGGTTTCTTATAAAGTTTTTTCAACCCGTTTGTATGTAGGTACGCTTGTTGGTATTTTTTGGCTTTAACAAAATAGCTTGTTATAAGAGCCTTGTCTGTAAAATAGCTTTTCATACCGTTGCCTATTAAGGATGATTCTACTGCTGCTATCCTATTTCGATGCTTGGAAGATGCTGTTGAGAAGACGTATTTAGTGGCCCGATTGAGAATTGGGTAATGCAAGCCACCGCTTACAAAGCCTTTGGAAGGTGGAGTGCTCTATTTTACCTCTTTCAGTAATCGTGTTGATGTGGTGTGATTGAAATGGGTCGAACTACGATATGACTACCTCATAGGATTCCCCAGCACATCCTGCTCTGGTTCTACGAATATGGGACGAAACCCACAAACAACGATATTATGTCATACATTGTTTTCGGTCACATAACCGGTGGGGATGTATTCTGGGTCATATCCTTCTTACCTAAGAGCTTGCCACAAAGCTTCCACCACCAACTACTGTCCATTTGAAGCCAAAACTAGTCGTGAATAAACGTGAATAAACCATCTTGGCAAACACACAAAATAACCTCAACGTTTGGTTAATACCTGTACCGATTACCTTTTGGTGCAGAGCTAGCATGTGATATTTTTCTCTATTTGACCTTGCTTATCATTTTAAGCGTAGCCCTAAGCAATCGGTTTGACTAGTTAAGCAACCCAGTAAGCAGCAACATGACGAATGCTTGTAACCGATCAATAACTCATGAATTCAGGGTTAGCAAACGACTGGTTGTTCTCAAACCGTTGTGAACCCAGTAGTTACTTTCCCAGCCCAATTCGACGCTACCAGCATCTAATCACTACCATGTAAATTTGTAGGTCCGTTGAGTGTTTACTCGAAAAAGTGCCAAACCCATCAATCTTTTGGTCCTACTTTTTACACTGGAATATTATAATTGAATAACTCACTAACTCATGGGTATAACTATCAAGTAGACGCCTATAATTCGCTATGCGCTTCCATCAGGATGCATAAAATAAGATATTGTACATACCTGCGGAAAATTCAGCAGCAAACGGTCCCCTTCGATGTGTCGCATCTGAAGCGAAAAGGGCAACCATGCTATTGTTACTTGAAATGAAACTCGGAGTGCTGAGGTCGACCACCGCTGCGATTCTCTTGGACATGCAGTCCACACCGTCGAATATCACAATGAAGTCCAGTAGCAGTTCCAAACGTCGCTCCAACTGTTGACACAAAACAAATAGAAATAGGGTTAGATAAAACCATCAGTCAACTTAAATTATGCCTTAACAATAAAAAGAACCATGTACCAAGGCGTATTTTGCAAGTTATCCTCCCAGGTTGTAACGGTTACGTTGAGTAACGATGCATTAAATTTGGCCAGTTAATTTACTGGTGTCTCCACCCAGGGACTACATTAACGTAAACTTCGATTTTCTATTTCAGTTACCTTGGATTTTCGTGGTAGTTCTTTTCCAGGTCAAGAAACTAGTTTGACCTGCATAGTCGTTTGTGTTGCGTGGCCATCTGTTTATAAGGTGTGAGTTACTTGTTTAAACATCAAGCCGATACTTTGAATATGAGTTAACCTATATATACTTTGCGTATTAATGAACGTGGTACATGTAACTTGTCGAAAGTGCATGAAAACGAGATTAGCAGGTATACTATCAGGATAGTTCGAAGTTGAGAGACGTAGCAAAGATTATCCACTCAGTTAATCATTACGGTAATCCATATGAGACAGATGACAATATATGTCTTCGAGCCAAAGTGATGGTTTGAAAGAAACAACTAGCTTTTATACACCTACAAATATATAGCTACACACACATTTGCGCACTGCCGCAGTGGGCCCAATCAAACAACAGGAGCTCTTTTGGTGGACAGTGGTCTCAAATTCTTGATTAAGCAATCTAACGCGGCTGATATATAGCACACAATCAGATCAGTTTCCTTAAGATTTTCTAGCTTAACAGCTACTAAACGTATCCCTTCATACTAACTGAGATTTTACTGGTGACCACGAGGAACGTCAGCTTCGGAAAAGTCTCGTTGACATTTTTCTCCTTCCAGCTCGTTTCCACACTTCTTGAAGAACTAGCAGCATATGCGTTTCTAATAGCTGCTCCTGTTGTAACCTCAACAGCTTTCTAGATCGGGGTAATTATATCTGTTGGCATTACAATGGCACAGCTGTTTTTTGTCCTATCAACGAAAGTAGCTTCGCATTGCAATCCAAGCCATTGCTTTTAAATCATGGTGTTAAACTCCTTTTTACTTCGTCGTTTTAACCGAACCATAACCGGATACTGAGAGCACTGATTGCAGCGTTGCTTTGAGCGACCTATATAACCTGTGACGAGATTGATCCAGCAAAGAGAGGTCGCAACGTTGTGGTTTTGCTTCTACATTCCGTTTGGCTCCGCAACACAGAAAATGAAATTAGTAAATCCTTTCTTTGCCAAGTGTAACTGAAATTTGATGTTGTGTTTACTGACCAGAATTTACAGTCATGCAATAACAGTCGCCGAGCTACTGCAACGAGGTTTGTCCTGGTACTTTCGTGAAACCCCATATTTCCAGTGGTGGAAATCAACCTGAAAACTTCCTTACGTTGAGTTCCGATCAGCAAACAAGTTGATGCGAATTTTCCCATACGATGCAAAACGGTTAACTAAACGTTGTTTCGAAATCTCGTGCTCATCAATACTGTCTTAATGGCCAATGTTTTAACCCTAGTTGCACGCCTTGGATGCAGTAATCATGCAGCGCTTGGATTCTGGTACATCTCCGGCAGAATACATCAGTGAACAAAACCAAGGAAGCCCGCATCGTCACTCCTTAGGATATCTCGCTTTACGTGATTCAATTAACTAACTGTTGCTTCTTAGCTAAAATTACTTGGAACAAGTTTGGAACACATTTCAGCGCATTAGAAGCCACATTCATACAACCAGAGTAAGATAAGTTCTTTTGCAATACCGGATTACAACACGTTTGTCACTAATGGAGGCAGCTTGGAACGTTTGTGAAGGATCTCTAGGCGCACATGCCGGACATGTTCACAAAGCTAAAGAAATAATACCTTAAATTAATTCTAACGACAAGCACAAGCACTAACAATATTTGGTAAAAGAATTCAGCACTTTCGCAAAATGCTCTACAGACACTGAGTAAGGCAATTCTGCGTGAATTACCCACAGCGCTGAAAATAGTGTGGCGCTAACTATATAATTGGAAGTCAATACATTTCGGCAAAAATTAATCCGTACTTTCCGGGTTGAATCACTACCATATCTAAGACTGACACTGCATAGGTAAACCTCAATGTTCAGTTGTGTAACTTGTACAGCAGTAAAAGTAATGAAATATTATTTCTTTGTTCACGCCCAGTAATCACGGCGTGGGCAACCATCACCCGAAGATTTAGAGATAAGTACCAGGATCACTGAACAACTGATAGTCAGGTGCTTTCAGTGATAAATTAATGCGTGACAGATTGCTAGAGTTTGAAATCCTGGAAGAGCCATCTTAATTTATAAAGGTGGCAGTCTTGTAAATCCTCATTGTGCTATCCAAGTTAGTATCGCATAAGAGCCCGTAAGATATCTTTAGAGAATTGCCATCAAAATAGCACGGTAGCATGAATTCAACCGAAGTCTTTCATGCACGAGCATTCCGAGTGGCAGTTGTGGATGCAGGAGTAGATTACGGCGTTCACCTAAAGATTCCGGACATTTTCAATCGCCTGAACTAACGCCTACTCATACGTTAACCCGATGACCGGAAAAATAAATGATCCTGAATGATCCTTGATTAGAGTGTTAACATTCCCACGGTACTACTGCAGAATTTGAGCGCAGCCGTGCATTTTTCGACTTAAATAAGATTCAGTATAGCGTACTCCTGGGTCCAGGCCTAAGGTCGCTGAAGCAATCACAAGGTTGATCCACTGAAGCTTCACAACGTAGAGAGGCTAGACTCGATAAAGTAAACGTTCAACTACCCTGTCAACGCAGGCTGCAGGCCGTAAGACTGTCAAATGGTGAATATGGACATCAGCGAGGAGACCCCATAGTGCTCTACTTAATACTGAGGAATCCAAATAACACCTGTGGTGACCTATTGCAGTTGAACCAAATTAGCAAACTGAGAAGCCACGAGCTCTGCAATAGAGTCGACCTGATTGTAGACAAAGTATTATTTCCTTTTGGATGTACCAAATAAGAAAGCCCTTCCAACTCACTTGACCCTGCTCCTACATTAAAGCTTTACAAACTACGTCTTGGTGGCACCGTTTCCTACTTGCTTCAAAGATATAATGCATTTCATCTGAACTAAAGATGGCAAAGCAGGTAATGTGCTTAACAGCTTTCTCCGCAACGTGGAGGTGAGGATACATGCATGGGTAGTTCTGCGCCTAGCTTGGATGTAACCAAACTGGATTTACGTACCACATCGCTCCAATGAAGGGGTGCTCATGAACTGTAGCTGCTTCTAAAATTGGTGGCTGATAGCTAGGGTGAAAGAGACGGCCTGCCCCAGTGAGTTCAATCAAAATCAGTCTGAAACCCATCGCCTCCAATTTACTTGCCTCTGTAATCCTTCACAGACTGACTGACGCTCGTGAAAGCCAGATAAGTGAGAAGCAAGCCGGGTTTCGTCGGGGTCCTGGCTGTATCGACCACATCTACACCTTGCGTAAGTTGTTGGAGCAACGCCACACATATTGGCGGCATACCGTAGTCGTGATCCTCGACTCCAAAGGTGTGTTCGGTTGAGCGATGTGCACTTTGGAACTGTCTACTCAAGAAAAGTGTTCCCGAGAAATATGTAAATATTATCCCAGCATCCTACGCGCGTTGCAGAGGCAGAGTAAGGGCATACGACATGCTGTCTCCGCCCTTCAATATCTCCAGCGGTGTGTGACAAGGATGCCTGCTGTCACATTCTCCCTTCAACTGCGCTATTGACGAAACCATGGGAATTGCATTTACAGGACACGACTTGGAAGGTTTAGAGGTAGCCCAGGAGAACGACTTCTTGACTTGGAGTATACAGACGATATTGCCCTCATCTGTGACAGCTTCCAGACGTGCTAAGCTGCACTGGACAGAGCAGCACTGGCTGTCAGCCGTTTCAGGATCTGATTTGCACCATTGAAGAGAAAAGATTTCCTCCAAGGTTGTCAGGGATCGCCTCCTGCGCTGACGCTTGTTGGGGATCAGCTAGAACTCGTCCAAAAATTCAACTATCTGGGAAGTTGTATCAGCGCTTTTAGGATTGAAGATGAGATCACAAACCGTATAGCAGAAACTCGAAGTGCTTTGCAAGTCTTCGCCACAATAGGCGGCGGCGCGACATCACCCTCGCCTTGAAGGGTAGAGTGTACAATTCGGCGGTACGTTTGACCTTACTGTATGGTTGCGAAACTTGGCCCCTTAGATCAGCGTACGTAAAGTGGCTAGTTACCTTCGACCATCGGTGCCTGCGCAGTATGGCTCACACCTGGTGGGAACACCGCGTGAGTAACGAGCATGTCCGACGACTTGTTTACTTCACCGGAAACGGAACTGAACCGTTCAGCACGCTCATTTCACGCAGCAAGCTCCGATGGCTCGGCCACGTGTTGCGTATTCCAGCACATCGATTTCTTCGACTTGCGTTGTTTTCTCACCGGGGATGTGGATGGAAGAAGAGGAGCGGTAGCCAAGCGATGACTTGGTCCAGAGGAATGAAGGCCCTCACCTTGAAGCTTGCCTTGGTTGGAGCGTCACGACTCCCTGTTGGAGTCCAAAAGACGGTGAACAATTTTGGCTAGATACACTGGCTGACATTGCAAAGATTCTACCTCAGTGGAGTTCTTGCTGTGAGTTTCTTTGTCCCTTCCCAACCCTTTTAGCCTTTCCCCCAACCACCATCTCATTTCGTAGCGTAATATTATAATGCATAATATGTTCTCTTGTTGCTGGTAGCTTTCCGTAACCCTGCCTATCCGTTACTGGTAGCTCAGCTGGCATGCGACTGTTGTATTTATGTTCTTTTTCGTGTATTGCGGCACAATAGCTGAGGTGTTTCCCACCTCTATCTAACGTGTAAAATGATGAGGATGTTCAATCGGACGACAGACCAGGGGCGCTAGCGCGTTTTCAAATCATTGCTAAGTGTATATAGTCGCAGAGTTGTGAAAAGAACGCTAGTGAGCTGACCCGTTGTAATTAATTCTGTTGAGGCGACTTGGAGCCCCAAGCTTGAAACACTTCCGTATTATATTGTGTCTACATTTCAGTCTTGTTCGAAACCACCATTACACAGCAGAGGAATTAAGTCGGTTGACGTTCAACATAACGATTCACTTCTCCTTCGATGATTTTGCTTTTAATTTGCATTCTAACAATCTTAGGGGACTAGTCAACCACCTTCACTTTTACCTGTGATAAAATATTGTTCATTGCTCATCTGCCCTCCACGCAAAGAAACCATAAGCTTAACTACATATATATTCATGTTTACCTCTTAATGTATACCCGAATTTCTTCGTCCCTTTATTGTCGCTTTTATTTTGAGTCTTGTATGCCTCGCTGGCACAACCGAATATTGTTTTTAATTTCCCGCCTAATAAACATGGTTTTATTGCTTTTGCTTCGTTCATTTCTGTTAAGGGATCATTTACATCAGCGATAGGAAACATGACAAAATAAGCAGGGAATTCCTATCAGCTGGATGAAGCAGCCGCCTGTAATACAAAGTGTGAGGCATTTCTATGGTTTCAACATATATTTTCTTCATTGCCAAGATGATTTCGTGTGCGAAAAAATTTGTATAGTATGAAAAATGGTTATTTGCAAAACCTGCAAGAAACTTACTCGTGCAACTGTGAAAGTCAAATTGATTTGCTTGTTAGCCGGAACGGTGATTGCATAGTTGCAGAACTCCTCATCCCCATAGCTTTCTGGATATCCGGGACTAAGTATTACGCCAGTTTCATTTCCGGTGAAATTTCGACTACAGTTGGAAATAGGCTCGCTATCTAAACAAACAATATAGAATCAAATGGTGCAGTCGCTAGTTAAAATTGTGGTTAGCCTACACCAGCCCAGTAAACAGTTTAGCAAATAAGCAGTAAGTTTATACGAATTAAGAAGTGCGGCCTTATAATCCACTTTAGATTGTCTATTCCAATTACCAAAAACGCTTAATATGGTAAACATTATACTTTAACTGGAAAATAGTAGTAACTATCCTTTTACGTGTTTGTGCTAAAGTATTGCTGCTATCTTCGTAGTTTTACAGCAGGTACAGGTGACGGCATAAATATACAAGGCAGTCCCCAGTGACTGGGACGGATCGACGTTGCTAAGTAAAGAAATGAAGTTAGTTGAGCGCGCTTTTTAATCGCCGTTCGTTTGGGTACAGAAACGACTGAATCAAACGGGCGTTTAAGTGGAAACATGCTAGAAATTGAAATGATTTCTGCGCTGTTCCAGCTGGCTGAACTGTCCTGCCAGTTTCAAAAGGGTGACCTCTCCATTCATCCTTGACACAGACACGGTAGGCAGCGGCACATCACTTGCATCGTGCAGAATCCGGTGAGGCACTCTGAAGTGGCCTCATAAGCATCGGTAAGATACATTACAAACTCCCAAGTGCTTTTACCTCTGTTCGCTTGAAGGCTTGCTCATTCTAACTAAGTATTTAGAGACCCGACGTTAAGGCTGATCCAGAGCTGTTAGATCGTGCAACAGCCATGGCCGCCGGCTTTGCACGGCTTATTCAAAATGATGGCAAACAAGCGACGAACATCTGCCATAAAATGGAGATGCCAAGGGGTGTGAACGCACTCGCCACCAACCTGCTAACTTTTTATCGGATGTGTTTAACATGCGTACCTGATCGTATGGTATCACAATAAAATCTTGATCCCCAAGACGTAAGACACTGTGTCAGTTATTAAATACCGAATTAGACATAAAAATTGCAATGTGTACTAGTTGTATGTGAATCAAATTATACTCAACATTTTGTCTTTATCCTTGTTTGCATCGGATGAGAAAATCATCTGTTTGCCCGTATAAACCTATTTGGTATCCAGCAAGACAGTGAATTTGGACCACCCATTTCATGTAAACAAGGAACATGTACGTGATTTCAGAAGGAACATGTACATTTACGGATCTTACCAAGTAAACACTATAGAACTCAAACACGTAGGGATCAAGTTTCTATGAACGTAACCTTTGAGGTACCGGCACCATTTTGATAAAATGTGATACATCCATTAACCGCAAACATAGAACTACAGTTTCTAAGCACATGCTTACTTTTTAGTTAGGCGACTTTATCACAACAAACTCACTCTATTCAACGAGCTCCTATCCTGAGAGAAAAAAGCATTTTCACCATACGCCCTTTCACAACATTTTCTTTCTAGGCTGAACAAGATAATAAACTCTCATTTCCGGAGGTAGGCCTTAATAGAGGGGCTGATGGTCCCATATTAAGGAACATCAACAGAAAGAAGACGTGTACAGGTCAGAATACAAAATTCTGTTGTTGTGTGCCGCTTAAATACAAGTGTAACTAAATACATTGTGTCACCTCAAGGGCAAGAAAGATATGCTCAGAGAACGCTCTGGAGGATGAGATTAAATCCATCCAGAAAATGTTGTGCGAAAATAGTTATTCATTAAGATTCATACAATGCAGTATGCAACCCAAAATAATACCGGTCGTTGAGGACGTAGTCGCAATATGGTCCCCTTCATCCGCCTTGGTTTTAAATGTGATACAGTTAGTGAGCCTTTAGCAAGAAATCTGAAGCAATCGATAAGGAACACCTTTCCGGCTGCGAAATTATGATACATCTTTGTCACAAACCAGCTAATTCCTGTGTGCGACAAGGACGGATTGCCGTAGCTGATGCTTCGTCAAATGTCACACGCCTTAAGGAACATAGCCCTAAATGGTTGTTGAACGGGGACACCGGAGTTCTTATAAGCGGTATTTTTCTCACCTGTTCGAATCAGGTTACCCGAATTAACTCCCGAATGTCCTTACTGTGATTTATCAGGTTCCAATGAACAAATCAAAAGGTACGCGGTTAAGGATGCTTGCCACTGCAGAAGCCATTGCGATCCGCATATTCCAACCTCTACTATGATCGCAAAAAACGCTAGTTCATTATCTATACCTGCCCTGACCGAACAGCCATCTGCCCAGCCGTCACCGACATCGGCTCAGGTAGTTTTCTTAAGTAACCCTCAATCGATCTGTGTGAATGAGACAGCGGTGAACTATTCGCTCTCTAACCGCTGACCGAGTTAGTTCAGAACCCCCGAAGCAATCATTATATATCGCTTTGCCTTTTAACCTTATATGATGGTAACGGCACGTAGATAAATCACTGAAAATAATTATTTGACTCTGGTTTTCTTGTACTAGCGATTCGATCTTAAAAATGCAAACTTCCATCGGGCGTAACGGAGAGTTATATGAGTAGCTTGTAAAACTGGGGAAGTCCTCTTTTCGAATCAGAGTTCCATCCTCTGCCGACTGACGACGGAACAGCATGCTAATACTTCCTTGTATCATAGAGCAGCTAAGAGTGAATAACTGGAACTGAATGAATCAAAAGGCATTCTGAATTCACAATTTCATTATCATTAGCACATCGTGATAAATAATTGACGTGCGGAAAATGGTTAGCACTCCGGTGCTGAATGTCATGCAAATATGCAAAAATCGCTATGTTCCAACGCTGCACCAATGCTGCGAAAGATTTAGCCAAAGCATTAGGGGATGAAATTTAAACATCAAGACTTCGTTGTCAATAACAATTTTAAAATTTATGCCAAACAGATATTTTGTAGGCAAGAACTTCTCTCATTGTTTGTGCGCATCCACGTTCAGGTGAGCTGAGGCTTCTGGAAACACAAAATACGGGATGCCCACTTGGTTCTAGTACTGCCCCGATAACAGTAGGCGATACATCTGTAATTGCGATCGGGGGTACTTTTGGTGAGAAAAGGTGTAATACAGCATCTGTGGATTGATATCCCAGCAAACTACGCAGTGCCTTCGCATGAGTTCTAGCTTGTATTTCAAACCGCGGCTCTGCATTCGGAGCAAAGTCGGGTACAAATCTTGCGTAAAACTTCAGTGAAAGAAGTTCACCTAAATTCTACAGAGTAGATGCTTTGTGAAAAACGAGCAGGACCTGGGCGAAAACCATTTCCTCAACAAGATAAACAAAACAGGGGAATATAGTTGTACCAAAAATGCACTTCGACGAGTTACCTGCAAGATAAAATAAACAAAATCCTTCCAATAATTCACAAAGTTCCGCTTTGTGAATGGAATTCTTAGACGCGGATAAAATGATATCATATTGGTATACTGAAATACCTGTCAAACCGGCGGGCATAGAATTCATGCCATTTTGGAGTATCGAAGGTGACACGCTGAGTCCAAATAGCAAAACTTCGGGGCAGATTAGACCAAATGGCGTATTAATGGTCGTATGACTGATGGCTGTCCGTCTACGACTCGGAAGAGGTACGTTTGCCACTTTTATAAGCACGTACTGTCCGACCATGTGTTATCCTGAAGACACCTGTGATCAATTCTACACTCAGCTATCCTCCGTGATGCGGCCTGTGCCTAGGAAAGACCGACTATTTCTGCTGGGTGATTTCAACGCTTGCATTGGGCGGGATGCATCGATGTGGACAGATGTTATCCGTCAGTAATGATTTGGTTCAGAGAATGCCAACAGAATGCTCTCACTGTGTGCCACTCACTTCCTGACGGTCACGAACACTCGGTTTGCATTGAGTGTGAGTGAGATGGCAACTTAGACGCGCCCGCGGAGTGGTCACCCTCACCTGCTCGACTATGTCATCGTACGTCAATGTGATATGCGTGAAGTGCGCATGACACCTGTACTGCGTGGAGCTGAATGTGTCACTGACCCCAAATCAGTTGGGATCAAACTGTAGATATATGTCCATAAATCTATGTATCGTACTCCCGCCGTGAATCGGCTTAAATTTAACATTCTCTCCTCGGTACTGGGGCGAAACTTACTGAGCTGAAGAAGGCGATGGCTGCAAGCATGTTTAATATGGATTGCATAGCCACAGTGGACGACCTGTGGCACAACATTTCCGGTTAGGTGATGGCTGCTGCCGTGGAGACAATCGAGCGCGCAAACCGTAAGCTTCCTGATTGCTTTGATGAGAACAGTGTGACGATTGGCGCATTAGTGTCAGAGAAGAACGGCAGCATTTGCCGCACATGTGGCGGATCCCAGTGACTTGGGGAAGAGGAGCCATTTTCGCAAACTTCGACGGCGACTGACTTGAGAGTTCCGTCGCATTAAAAAATGCATTGTGAACTAAGAAGGCGAAGCGCATGTAATGCTACTCCGAACGCCGCCGACACAAGGAATCCTTTAATTTCCTGAACTCGGTATATGGAACGAGATTGGAGCAGCTGCGGACACTGAATTATGGTAGTTCTGGCACTACCTGTACACAGACTGCAGACAAAATGCAGAACTGGCGAAAACACTTTGACTGTCTCTTAAACAACCTTCCAGAGAACTACTGGCCTACGTTGAACGGCCTCAAGCTGCACGATGTGAAGGCGAGTCCAGTGGACACGCCGACACTGGACGAGATGCAAAGCGCTCATGCTCAGCTGCGAAACGGCAAGTGTGTCAGGGCCGACCGGCTGTTGCCTGAAGTATTGAAACACGGCGGACCCGCGTTAATGACTGTGCTGCACCACTTCACACAACGTGTGTGGATTGAGGAGGAGGTGCCTCCTGAGCAGAAGAGTGCCTTTGTGCTACCACTGTACAAGGGCAAAGGAAGCAAGCAATGTTGCACGAATTATCGTGGCACCAATTAGCTAAGTTGTGTAAGCAATGTGATTGCCCGAATCCTGCTCAAACGCGTCGTCAGTCAGATGTGGAACCTAAAGTGGCGAAAGAGCAGTGTGGATTCCGTTCGAGTCGCAGCACTATAT